ATGTTTGTACAGGACATGACTTCTCTTCTGGACTTGAAAATGGAGGCTGAAAGTTTTGAGTCAATGAAAGAACTGGGACAGACTGTGTCCCTATATGAATCCAGCCCAACCCCTATCTAATAGTTAGCTAACACTTTAGACCCTGAGAGAGTAGGGGGCAAGACAGTAACCTGTCAATCTGCTTTTTTCACAAGGACATGGCAGCAGACACCCGGAAGCATAATGCCTTCCTAAGGTTCTCAGTTGTCACCTCTGTGAGTAATCAGTTGAAAGCTTGAACTCCCATCCTGGATCTCCTGTCACCTAGTATTAGTGACTCTCTCATTTTTCCAATGATAAAGTATACCAACATTTTTTTAAATAGATAAAATATATTTATTGTGTCATTCTAGCTTAACTTCTTGCCACACAACCAACAAACAGACACAAGTGTCAAAAAAGTAAAGAATAGTCAGATTGCCATTGTCAAACCCCAAATTATGTTAAGTGGCAAGTAAACACAAAACAATGATTTTTCATAGAGAATGTGTGACTTCATAATTACCACTGACAGTAATAGAGGTTAGACAGTTGTTAGCAACACAGTAAGTGCTGTCTTATTTGTATGATTAATTATTATTTTCAGTTTTTACAAATAAAACTGTAGTTGATATGAAGGTACAAGAGTCAGAGGAAAGAAGTTCATTCTAAAAAATGTATGCCAGTGTGTTACATTTATGTGTCAGAGTCTTAGATTCTTTTTTTTTAGTTGAAATTTTATTACTACACCTACTCTTTCTTTTTTTTTTGGTGGTTATTATTATTTTTTTAATAATCAATATTTTTTATTTTGATATTGTGGGGTACAGTCAAGGGTTAGGTATACAAATATGCTTCATTCAGGCCCCCTTGTTGATAATTGGTGTCTCCCCGTCTCCAGACAGATGTTTACTACCATTAGTCTCATCCCCCCCATAGTTTCCCAACACTGTCAGTCATTTTCTTATAGTAGTGCATTGGATGATCAAGGTCCACTATATGAGTGAGAATATGTGGTACTCAGATCTTTGTTTCTGTGAGAGGTCACTTAGTATTATAGACTCTAGCTCCATCCAGGTTGCTGCAAAATTCACGATTTTGTTCTTTTTTATGGCTGCATAGTATTCCATTGTGTATATGTACCACATTTTTAAAATCCAGTCCTCTTTTGATGGACAGCATGGTTGGTTCCAGGTTCTTGCTATTGTGAACAATGCTGCAATAAACATTCGCATGGAGGTATCTTTTTTATAGAGTAATTTGAGTTCTTCAGGGTTTATTCCCAGTAGGGGGATTGCAGGATCATATGGGAGGTTGATGTTTAGAGCTTTTAGGAATTGCCACACTGCTTTCCACAGAGGTTGCACTAGTTTACACTCCCAGCAACAGTGTAGAAGTGTTCCCTTTTCGCCACACCCTCTCCAGCAGCTGTTATTTTTTGAGTTTACACCAGCATTTTTAATGCCACAGTGTATGAGGGGGAAATCACACTCCCAAAGAAAACCCCTGAATTGTCTTATGAAGGGGAAGGCCCCTTGTAGTTCAGACTTCTTTGTTAAGTGTTCTAGGAGCCCATTAGTTTTTATCTGGAAGTCTTGAGTAGGTTGTGCCATAATTTGTGAAAGAAATGTCCTGAGTACTGGCAAACAGGTGACTGATTCATCCACCATGACAACACACCTATTCACATGGTTCTGAATGTTCAACAACTTTTGACTAAAAATAGCATTACCCCTGTGCTCTGGCCTTCCTATAATCCAGTCTTGCCTGAGTGAGTTTTTTTGTTTCCCCAGATGAAAAAAGTCCTCAGAGGAACATTTTGCCAGTGTGGAAGAGGGGAAACCAAAAAACAAGCACTAAAAGGCACTGAAATTGACAAATTCAAAAGTTGTTTTGAGCAGTGAAAAAAATGTCTCGATAGGTGTATGGCATCAAATGGAGAGTATTTGAAGATGTACTTTTAAATATGTAAGAAATACACATTTTTATTAAATTCCAGGTTTTGGGGAGTACCCACTCAGATATGAACAGGACCCAAATCCTGGCTTACCATGTGAAGATTTGGCATCCACCATCTGGGTGTTTTAACTTAAATGACATTGAAACAAAAATGTCATCACAACTAACAAAACCTTGGTGGGATGCTACTTTAACATACCACACTTGATTCCGTGAAGAGTGTCCCAGTGGCAATGATGGAAATGAGGACTGACTATTGCTAGCCAACTGGAGGTGTCAGGAACAACATTGTATGGGAGAAACAGTGGATGTGACAGGCTGAGACTTGGCTAGCAAATGCCAATGCCTACAAACCTATGAAGGGATCACTGAGCAATATAACAGAGAAAAGGTGCTGTGTGCACCTGAGGGCTACCTCTCTGTGGGTAGTGTGGGGATTTCCCAAGTACCAGATAGTGCCATAACTGGACAGTTGGTGGATGGTAGGATCCTGCATGTTAGGGTTGCCCCTGGATATCACCCTGGGAATGAGGCACGCATTGGCCAGAAGCCTAAAGTTGTATGCCACCAGACTTACTAGGGATCTGACAGGAGGTGTAACTGATTCTGTGCTTATGTTCTTTCTGATATCTTTGGTAGCATACATAGGAATCAGTGCTCACGAAAAATGTTAAGATAACTGCCCCAGGCCATGCTTTGGCAGTCCAACAGACATCCCTCAACTCCCTTAGGAAGATTTGAACGTTTTCTTTAGCCTAACTGGTAGGAATGTGTGTGACTGCCACCACCTCTTGCTATATTAGTATAAATACCTCAGGTATTATTAAAACAAAAGTAATGAAGACTTAGATACAGACTTAGAAATCATTTCTAAATATCCAGTTTTATTGCTCATTGGCTCTGCCTTCCAGAACACATGAGAACACAATCCATTTGATGTCTTTGCCACTTTATAACAGGATTTGCCTTTCCTTCAGTTTCCAATAAACTGTTCCTCAATTTCACCTGTAACCTCACCAGAATGGCTATTATTGACCATATTTCTACCAACATTGTCTTCAGAATTGTCTATGTTTTTTCTCCAAAATAATTGAAGCTTTCTCCTTAGCTCACCTGTTTTCTTCCACGTTCTCAGCAGTATTTTTTTTTTTTTTTGACTCGGAGTCTCACTCTGTCACCCAGACTGGAGTGCAGTGGCCGCTCACGGCCACCACAGCCTCGACCTGCTGGGCTCTGGCTATCCTTCCGCCTCAGCCTTCCAAGTAGTTGGAACTACAGGTGCGCGCTACCACACTGGGCTAATTTTTTGATTTATTGTAGAGATGAGGTCTCACAAAGTTGCCCAGGTGGGTCTCGAACCCCAGAGCTCAGGCAATCCACTCACCTCTGCCTCCCAAGGCGAGGGATTACAGGCTGAGGCACTGAGCCCAGCTAGTAATGTTTTTAATATCTATATTTCTACCCTCAAAATTTGACATTTTTGTTAATTTAAGTGCATTTCCAACCTTACACTGGATATAAAAATGAACTCGAATTAGACAAAAGACTTATTAAATGTAAAACAAAGTGGCAAAACTTTTGAGAAGAAAACACGGGAGAAAAATCTTTGCTCACAGCACTACGTGAAGAGTTCTTTGACGTGAGACTAAAAACATCCCACCTTAAATTTAAAAATACATTAGAACTCATATAAAAACATAAAAAGCTTGCTTTGTGAAAGATCCTAGTAAGAAGATTAAAAGATCATCCATATACTCAGGAATAAATATTTGGGAATTATCACTCTCGCGACTGACTCCTTCCTTGGAGGTTTCCCTTAATTTTAAGCAAACTACATTCCTCTATAAAGTGCCCTCCAGACAGAAGCATTCTCTGGGGTCACAGCTCCTCCACCGGTTGCTTGAGTTCCCTTCCCTCAAAAGTCCTCTAAAATCCCTGCGCCCACCTGACTACCCAGACTCCTTAGGATCAAGGTGCCTGAACGTCTGTGGCCATCCCTACCCAACCTGCAGATTCTCAGTCCGAACAGTTTGGGCAGTGCCCCTGGCACATGTTACAAATTCAAGATATCATATTTCAACTGGATTTAAAAAAACCAACCAACAAACCAAACAAATAAACAAAAAACAGGGTGATAGGAATCGTTTTCAATTGCTTCTCACGGTCATAGGCTTTCCGTGGGGGGTGGAGAGGGGGAAATCTTGCCAGTCCAACGGAGGCAGGCTCCCAAATGGCGACTCCCTGTGAATATCCTTACTCTGGGTCGCAGAATTTTTGCGTCATAAACGGACGTCTGCGCGCTGGATCTGGGGCTCTGGAGTGAAGGCTTATCTGGCTCTCGCGCCGCCATCTCCGTGGCTGCTCAGAGTCAGCTCAGTTCATCAAGGAGTGGATTGTGGTGCTGCATAGAGGCAAGTGTTGAGGAAAGTGGGTTTTCTGTGTCTCGACTCCAGCGGGGTGGAGGCAGGGATCATCCGTCACATCTGTGATGGGTTTGGAGAGTGTTTTCCAACTAGGCAGAGCGCGGATTTGCTGTTGTCTGTTGTTGCTCGCTAGCTCTTGGAGATCCACGTGGCGGAGTGGGAGTCCTTGCCGAGTGAGGGCTTTTTTTGTTTTTTGTTTTATTGAGTCAGAGTCTCACTCTGTCGCTTAGGCAGGAGTGCAGTGGCACACTCACGGCCACCGCAGCCTTGACCTGCTGGGCTCTGGCGTCCTTCCGCCTCAGTTTTCCAAGTAGCTGGAGCCACAGCACGTGCCACTACGCTCAGCTCATTTTTGTGATTTATCGTAGAGACGAGGTCTCGCCGCATTGCCCAGTCTGGTCTCGAGCCGGCAGGCTGAGGCAATCCTCTCTCCTTCGCCTCCCAGAATGCTGGGATTACAGCCGTGAGCCACTGCACCTAGTTGTATGATCTGATAGGGCTTACATAGGAGGGGGGGCATTGTTGAAATGACTCATTGTGTTATTGTCACATTGCTTAATTGACGTCCTGCTTTCCCTGATAGTACCTGCTTGCTCACGGTCACGCGTGAAGTCTGTGTGACCACCAGCACCTGCTTCCTCAGAACGACGTGTACTATGTGACCACCAGACTTCAGTGTCCGGGTATAAGAAGGATCCACAAAAAGAACAAGGTGATGGTTCTTCTTTAGGAATTGTCTCCCTCACATTTCCCTTTAATGTATTTTCTTTTCTTTGCCTCACTATCCAGCTCGTTCTCTTTTTCTCCACATTAGGCTTACATGTTCTGTTGAACATTTACTTTCCGGTTCATTCTGATCCAAGTAATGCAATCTCCATTGTCCTAAATATTCAGTGTATTTCATGTTTCATGTTGGGTTTAGGTGTATGGGTATTGGTATAATTCTATGTCTATGTTTTCTAACATCTTACTAACTACATATTTAAATATTATGCACTCTTTAAATGTTTTTTCTCTTTTTTTCTTAAACTACTGCAGTTATGTTCCACCAAGTGGGTGCTTTAATTTGGGCAGAAGTGATATAGATCTAGGTATAACACTTTCTTTTTTTTTTTTAGTTGGAGTCTCACTTTGTCGCCCAGACGAGTTTGTTTCTTCTTTGACTTGTAGTATTTTTCAATTCCTGTCTTGGACATTTCTGGATATGCTTATTTCTACATAGTTTATGCTTTTGTTGTAATTGTAAATGGTTTCTTTCTTCTTTTTTTGCATAAGGCCCTACTTCCTTTTTTCCTTCTGTGTTGGAGACCCCTGCCCTGCTTGAACTCTGATGAAAACATACTTGGCACACTAGCAAAGGTATAGTCAGCGAAGAATGCCTATAATGGCAAAGCCAGATAGGCATGTATGCTGAGGCAAATTCTAAAGTGCAGTGTCTCTTTTGTTAGAATAGTTAAGAAGTTATACATTGTCTTGCAAGTAGTATCACTATATCCTGTAAACAGTCCCACTTCACCATAAAAGCTTTCTAAGACCAAAACAGGGAGTTTTCTTTGCATTGTCTGTACTTTGTCCTTGAAGACTTACTTAACTATGTCATTTTGTTGTAATAAAAGTCTGGTGGGTAAGAAACTGGGGGCCTTTGTTCCACTAGACAAAGTGCCTCCTGGTCCCCCACTTTCCAACCTAAAACTGTCTTGTGAATTGTGTTATACCGTGAATTTTATTATACTGTGCCATTCTTCTTTCAGGATCCTTTACCACCCAGTACTACTAATTTTATGTTCTACACAAGAGCAAAAGTTTAAAAATAAATGTTTATTTTATCACTTAATTCTTCTCATGTTATTATACATAAGTTATAAATTGATTCCTTCCTGTTTTTTAATTGAGCATTTTTGCCATCTGCAAATAATTTTACCCAAGTGATGAGCATATGAACTGTGAGTAAGAGGAACCTGCTTCTGCCTCTAAGTTAGGTAGATTAATCTTGGAGAAAGTTTCATCATTTGTGAAAGAAAAAGCTGTTATAATTCCTATTTTATAAAATCATTGTGAAGATTAAGTGAGCAAATGTTTGGGTTTTGTTTTGTTTTTGTTTTATATGTTGGAGTCTCACTCACTCTGTCACCCAGGCTGGACTGCAGTGGCACAATCACAGCTCACCACAGTCTCAACCTCCTATGCTCAGGTGATCATTCTGCCTCAGCCTCCACCTGGGACTATAGGCAAATGCCACTATGCCTAATCTTTTTATTCTTCTGTAGAGATGAGGTCTTGCTCTGGTGGCTAAGCTAAACTCAAATTCCTAGGCTCAAGCAGTCCTTTTGCTTTGCCCTCCTAAAGTGATGTGATTACAGGAATGAGCCATGGTGCCTAGCCAAAATTTTTATCTTTTTCCAAAATGTATTTTGGATGTTTTGTGTGTGTGTGTGTGTGTGTGTGTCTTAAGTTTAAGAAAATAGCCATTCCATTTTTAGGCTATCTGAATTTATAACAAGCAATACTGCATTTTAGGAAATGTTTTTTCACTGTCCGTTTATTAAGAGATGATCATGTGGCTTTTCTCTTCTACTCTATTAATTTTTTTACTGGATACAGTTGACTGCCAACTTGATATCCATGTCTCTTTTGTTTGCTGTGAAAATTCCTATTTTATTTAGTTAGCTGTTCATCTGGGAATTTAATGTTAGCCTCACTTCAGTAGAAAATTCAGATTAGTCTTACCAATCAGGGTAATTTCACTGTCACTCTTATTTTCCTTGCCATGTTCATTCCAGTCATGAGCATTTGACAGAACTCAGATCTATTAGGTATGAGAGAAAGTCTTCTATGAGCTTCTGGAAAATGTTTGGGTCTTGGATTTTTCTTTTTTTTTTGAGTAGAAGTCTCACTCTGTCTCCCAGTCTGGAGTGCAGCGGCATGCTCATGGCCACTGCAGTCTCTACCTGATGGACCTAGGTGATCCTTCTGGGTCAATCTTCCAGTAGCTGGAAGCACAGGTGTGTACTACAATTCCTGACTAATTTTTTCTTTCTTTCTTTTTTTTTTTTTTTGAGTTGGAGTCTCACTCTGTCGCCCAGACTGGAGTATAGTAGCATGCTCCCGGCCACTGCAGTCTCGACCTACTGGGCTCCAGTGATCCTTCTGCCTCAGCCTTCCAAGTATCTGGAACTACAGGCATGCACTACCATGCCTGGCTGATTTTTTGATTTATTGTAGAGATGAGGTCTCGCCAAGTTGCCCAAGCAGGTCTTGAACCCACGGGCTCAGGCAGTCCACTCACCTCAGCCTCCCAAAGAGTGGGATTACAGGCTGAGCCACTGAGCCCAGCTCTGACTAATTTTTTCATTTATTGTAGAGACATCTCACTACGTTGCCCAGGCTAGTCTTGAACCCGTGGGCTCAGGCAGTTTTCTCACCTCTGCCTCCCAAAATACTGGGATGACAGGCGTGAGCCACCACACCCGATTCCTGGTTTTTCAACCTTGGTGATTTACGCTTCAGCCCACTTATGTGTGGCTGTCCCTTCTCCCTCTTGGCTGACTCCATGGAGTGCTGCATTTGGGTATGTAACACTCAACTTCTACTGGCCCTACAAGTAGACAGACTGAAGGGCCAGGACTGGGACAAAGCTGTCTCAGAATTGGAGAAGGGGTAGGGATGTGTATTGTAGTATATTTACTATTGGGTCAGAAAATAGGTTGGAGATGAGTTCTCCCGGTGCAGAGGACACTGGAGCTAGAGTCCTTGAGAATGACTTGCTGGGATGAAAACAACATTCAAGATGATCTCACAATGTTGGTGTCCCCAGAGGGAGTTTCTAGTGTGGTTCCAGAGTTGGCTTTCCAGGAGACTGAACTCTGTTCTAGCTAGTTTTGGGGCAGGTGATGAGGCTGCCTTTGCATTCCTACTGTTGTGGAGGGAGCTGGCTGATTGTGCCCAGTGAACACACATGAGGCTGTAACAGGCTCTGATTTTGCAGCTGAGACTGTATGGCCACCCCAGTGCCAGGCACCAGGAAGGGAGTTCTAAAAGTGAGTGAGAAAGTGAACATGTTTTATTGTAAGGGAGTTGTGAGAGGGAATTTTCACAATGGAGAGATCCAGAAGTAGATTTGAATTCCCTCCTAATTACGAAGGATGTTAACCTGTGCCGAGCACTTCACCTCACCAAGCCCTAGCTCAATCATATTTAAAATGCAAGTAATAATGAGTGCCTTATAAAACAATATTGAGGATTAAATAAGACAGTGCTTATGATTTGTTTAGTCTCTTGATCATTGAACTGTGATAATTGCCCCAGTGCAGTAAACAAAAATTTAGGAGCATGTGGGTGCAGATGATTTTAAATTGGTTTCCAGAGCCACTGTTTTTTGTTTTTGTTTTTTGAGATACTGTGTCCCAGCTCATCTCAAAATTTTTGCCTCAAGCTGTCCTCCTGCCTCAGCCTCCTGAGTAGTTGGGACTGCAAGCATGAACTGCCTCTCCCAGCTCCACCACTTCTATGTTGAAGGAAACTAAGAGCACAAGCTAACAGAGTACTTGTAGTTCTTTGTCTTATGTTCAAGGAACTAAACCTATATTTCCTTTTTCTACCCTGACCTTTTGGTTGCATTTCTATGGATAGCCAAGTGGTACCAAGTCTGGCCTGGAACATACTCATCCTAAGTGATTGTGCTGCTTAGCATAGATGTTAAGATATGCATAGTTTAGTCACTGGTACTTAACCTGCTTGTGTAATTTAACTCAGACATTAACATATCCTGCTTGTGTGGTATTGCTGTGCTTTATGAGATTTTTGTCCTAAATAAGAGGGATGCAGTAAAATAAATTTGCTCTCTCTCGCTCCTTGCTATCTGAGAGGGAGTGCTCCAAATCCCGCTGTTTCTCTGTCTCTTTCTTTTCTCATTCCCTCCCCCCAACTCAGGCCCTGATCTGCGAAGGCTGGACCCCCTCAGTGGTGCCAGAACAGGGACCTGAGTACTGGGGATTGGCATTGACGGGAGAAGAACCCTCGCAGAGGCTGGCGTCTTTTGTGTGCAGCATTACGATTCATGAGTAAGTAACCGAGGGAAAGGATTAATCGTTGGGAGTAAACCATGGGATATTTATATTCTAAGGAATGCACTCTCTTTGCGCAGATGTTGAAATCTATGCTGAAAGCTAGAGGAACTAAGGTTGCAGATAGACAATTAGATTTTTGCAGCTTGTAGAGGAAGTATGTCCCTGTTTCCTGAGGTTGGGACAGTTTGCCTAATTACTTGGGAAAAGGTAGGTAGTTGTTTGAAGGATTATTATCAAGCGCATGGTCCTGAAGTTGTGCTAGTAGATGCTTTATCTCTGCAGAACCTAGTAAGAGATTCCTTAGACCCCTCTTCTGAGTCTCATGGAGCAGAGCAGGCTCCTTCGTCTTTGCAGCATTACCCCTCAGCTCCTGCTCTAGCTGCCCACAATGACCAGAAGGGACACTCTCCTAAAGATTTTTGACAGGAGCAGGATGAGGCTGCTTTTCAGTATCACAAAGATGAGATATTCGTGGCCACTTGAACCTCTGTAACCGAGTTTCCTGAGGCTTCTAGCCTGCCTGTGAAAGAGGCTGAGCCCTCCACTCTTTCCTTATCCTCTGATACTTTTGCTCAAATTATGAAGTTGCTTACTGTTTTAGCTAGAAAGTGCTAGCTAAAGAGGAAGTGTCTTTGTGTCGTGCTTTGTGTTCAAAAGAGGAGGTGCCTTCCATACCAGTGACTCATTCCTCAATTTCTAAGGAGGAGCTCTCTCCTGGAGGTGGCAAGGAACCCCCTTGGGTCTCAACAGTCCCTCAATTGGTGCTGACTAGAGCCTTACTTGTGGATCATGAATCCACATCCTCCCCCCATCTAAGCTTGACCGCCCGATGTTAGGAAGCATCTTCCCCCTTTACAGAAGACTGTTCAATCTGCCTTGCTGCAAGGAGATGATTTAGAAGGATTTCATGCCTATCTGGTAGACATTACAGGCTTTGATGATCAGGGAAGGGAGATGCAAGAGTATCAGATTTTGTCTCTTAAGTCCCTGAAGGACCTTAAAACTGCTGTGGCACAGTATGGAGCAATAGCACCATTTATATTAGCTATACTGGAAACTATTTCACAAGAGAACTTGACTCGCTCTGATTGGCATCTGGTTGCTAAGGCATGTTTGTTGGGTGGAGAATATTTGTTATGGAAGACAGATTTTTGGGATAGATGCAAAGAGCAAGCTGAAAGAAATAGAGGAGATGAAATGAATAGGATTAATCTGGACATGCTTGTGGGCCAAGGAGAATATTCCTTCCAAGAGGCACAGATTTTATATCCTCAAGCTGCGTATGGTCAGATAAGTGGAGCGGCATTGGGAGCATGGCGTTGATTACCGTCAACTGGAGTTAAAACAGAGCAGCTTTAGAAAATCTGTCAGGGACCTAATGAGCCTTAAAAGATGTTGTATCCAGATTGTTGCAGGCTGTAGGTCGAATATTGGTAGATGAAGAGGTAGGTGAAAGACTTAAGAGTTGTTACTGTGTGAAAACTGGTTGCTGTGTTTTGTTGCTGTGTAAGAAGTGTTTGCAGTGGCCCCCATAAGACCAAATATATGCCGTAAGCCTTGTAGTGGTTGTGAAGTTACAGAATGTTTTACAGTGTTTGCACTTGAAACTCTGTTAGTTTTTTGTTTACCTCATAATAACTATGTTAAATAGGTTAACCGGCTTCTTCTGCTTCTGTAACCCCTGCTGGCAGTGTGCGAGTGTTAAACAATAAGCCCCTTCCAAACTTCCCTCTGTCTAAATTGTGACAGGCAAGCCACCCTTACGGTGGGCTTTGTATTAATTCAAACCTGCTTGTATGCCAAAGCTGACTTATGCACAGTCACGGTGACTGTGTAAAACCTTGGCTTCTGGTAAACATGTTCTCGAACCCAAGGTCCAGCTTATACACAGTCACGATGACTGTGCGGACCTGGGCCCCCCAAGTAAACATGTTACAAGCACCTCTGGATATCTTAACATTCCAGAAGACCTAACCGGTTCCACCCTGTCTCTCTGACCATTAATGGTCAGTCACGGTCAGCTGGAGTCCACGCCTGCGCAAATCAAACACAAACCAACCAATCAGTATCTCTGTAACCGCATTCATGCAATTCCATCCAATCCTGTGTGAACAAGTTTGTAATGCCACCCCACTCCCTCCAAATTGTGTATAAAAGAGGCTTGTAAACCTGAGTTGGGGCTCTCGTCCCTGAAACCACTGTGCCGGTTTCAAACGTGAGCCCAGACTCGAGCCTGAATAAAGACCCTCATGTATTTGCATCGGAGCTGGCTCTTTGGTGGTCTCTCGGATTTTGAATTTTAGGTTTAACATTTGGAGGTTCCACTGAGATCCCAGAGACCTCCAAGACCCCAGCCCGGAGGGTCTCAACACCGGCAGGTGAGTGCACCCAATTGTCTGTCTGTCTGCATGTCTGTCCAACTGCCTGTCTATTAGAGCGCTTCTTGTAGGATATCCATCCCGTAAGGCCAGAAGAAGATGTGGGCAGATGTGCTCTGGGGCCGCCAACCGGGGATCCTGGGAGACATCCCTCGACCCCATCTGGAGGACAGGGCGGAAGCCATCCTCACCCAAGGAAGTCCAGACATCGAGAGGCGTGAACTTAGCCTAAGTTCAGTTTAGCTCCCGGACACACTGGCAGGCTGGCGAGAGGGGTCATCTGGTACGCCCGACTTTTCGGGCACACACCAGGCCTCCATTCGGAGGATAGCACTGTCCTCATATCTGAAGGTAGCCCAGCACCAGGAGGCATGGACTTACCTTCAAATTGGTTTCGTTTTTGTCTCCATGGCTGTGGGAAACCTTACTTTTGTGTTGGTAGTGTCTTTTTATCCGCTGTGTTTGTGTGTGTGTTACTGTGGACGGAAAACATGGGATAGAGACTGACCACCTCTCTAACCCTCATGACTGACCACTTCTCGAATGTTAAAGAAAGGGCTAATAATCTGAGTGTAATCATTCACAGGAAAAAGCTCCAGACCCTCTGCGAGTCCGAGTGGCCATCCCTCGGCGTAGAATGGCCACCAGAGGGCACATTTTCACCACGTATTATTTTTCAGGTTAAAAATGTTATCTTTCGGGTGGAACACGGCCACGGTGGAACGTGGCCACGCGGATCAGGTGCCCTATATCCTGGTGTGGCAAGATATTATCCATAACCCGGCATACCGGATCTTGGCCACCTGGGAAGGCAAAACCAGAAATGGCGAGCCCCCGGAAGACAAGGCGCAGGCCAAACCTCCACCCTATCTGGTCCTGCTGGACTCAGAGCCAGAAGATTTGTCTTTTTCCCACCTTTACCCAAGATTCCCCTTGGCACCCCCGGCACCCGAAGTGGGTGCCGCGGAGGGGCTGCTGGGGAGCCAGCTCCTGTGCCCTGAGCAGAGGAACCCCAGTGCAGACTGGCGGCGGGGACGCCGGGCCGCACTGATCAGGAAGCCCCAGCACCGAAAGAGGGACCCGCCGACTCCACCGTGCTCCCCCTCCGAGCCTTCGGGCCTCCAGATGAAACTGGAGAACAGCCCCTACACTATTGGCCGTTCTCCACCTCTGACTTATATAACTGGAGGATGCAAATGGCTAAGTTCTCTGAAAATCCAAAAGATTTAACTAACCTGTTAGAAAGCATTCTTTTTACCCACCAGCCCACCTGGGATGATTGCCAAATGCTTTTAAAGGTTCTTTTCACAATGGAGGAAAGGGAACGCATTCAGACAGAAGCCTGGAAATTGGTTCTGGGAGAGGACAGGTAGCCAACCCAAAATCCAGATGTCATCAATGCAGCGTTCCCCCTGTCTCGTCCTGCATGGGACTTCAACATGGCTGAAGGTAAGGAGAGGCTCTGGGTCTATCGCCAGACTCTAATGGCGGGTCTCAGGGCTGCGGCATGCAAGCCCACTAATTTGGCCAGGGCATATGATGTTAGGCAGGATGGAAATGAAAGCCCAGCTGCTTTCCTAGAAAGGGTCACGGAGGCCTTCAGGCAGTATACTCCTATGGACCCAGAGGCACCGGGAAATAAGGCAGCAGTCATGATGGCTTTTATTAACCAGGCTGCCCCTGACATTAGAAAAAAATTGCAGAAAGTAGAAAGGTTAGGTGAGAAAAGCCTCCAAGATTTATTAATAGTGGCAGAAAAAGTGTACAATAATTGAGAAAGTCCAGAGGACCAGCAGGCCAGGGTAAACGATCGCCAGACCTGCAACTTGGCTAAAATCCTGCTAGCCACTACTACCGATGACCCTCAGGAAAAGCAGAGATGCCTCAAGCAACTGGCTGGAGAGCCAGGTAAGAAAAGCAGTTTTAAAAGGGGACACCCCAAATTGGCTAGAAACCAGTGTGCATACTGCAAGAAGGAAGGGCACCGGATAAGAAACTGTCCAGAAAAGCCTCCGGAGCCTACCTCAAACGAGCTAAAAGTCCTAACTCTTGAAAATTAGGGGAGTCAGGGTTCGGAACCCTTCCCTGAGCCCAGGGTAATATTGAAGGTGGAGGGGAAACACATGCAATTCTATGTAGATATGGGCGTGGAGCATTCCATCCTGTTAAAGCCACATGGAAATATAACAAATAAAGTCTCATGGGTGCAAGGGGCCACAGGCACCAAGCCATATCCGTGGACCACTCAAAGAACAGTAGACCTTGGTGTAGGCCAGGTGTCCCGCTCCTTCATAGTTATTCTGGACTGCCCGTACCCCCTACTAGGCCGAGATTTGCTTACCAAGGTGGGTGCCTAAATCAACTTTCACTCAAAAGGCACCAAAGTCTTGGACAGAGATGGGTACCCTATCCAGGTGCTTACTATCAACCTAGAGGACGAATATTGCCTCCACCAGGGCCCACCAGGGCCCACTACCACAGGCAGAAAATATAAGCCAATGGTTGCAGGACTTTCCCCAGGCGTGGGCAGAGACTGGGGGAGCGGGACTAGCTAAACACCGACTGGCAGTGTTCATTGAACTCAAAGCAGGAGCCGATCCGGTCAGGGTCTAGCAGTACCCAATGCCTCTAGCTGCATGAGAGGGCATAACCCCTCACATCTGGCAGTTACTAGATGCAGGAATACTGCGGCCCTGTCAGTCAGCCTGGAACACTTCCCTTTGCCAGTGAAAAAGCCGAATTCTAACAACTACAGGCCGGTCCAGGACCTGCATGAGGTCAACCGGCGGGTAATGGACATACACCCTACAGTCCCAAAGCCCTACACTCTACTCACTGCTCTGTCCCCAACCAGAACATGGTACACTGTTCTGGATTTAAAAGATGCCTTTTTCAGCATACTCTTGGCCCCAAGAAGTCAAGACATCTTCGCCTTCGAGTGGACAGACCCGGAAAGAGGTATCAGCGGCCAGCTCACCTGGACGCAACTGCCCCAAGGATTCAGGAACTCGCCCACCATCTTTGATGAGGGACTACATGAAGACTTGGGTGAGTTCTGTACAAGAAACCCCAACCTGACCTTGTTACAGTATATGGATGATATCCTACTGGTGGCAGAGGACCAAGACACATGCCTGCGGGGCACCACGGACTTGCTGCAGACTCTGGGCACCCTGGGATACCGCGTCTCAGCCAAAAAGGAACAAATCTGCAAAACAGAGGTAAGCTACCTGGGGTACAAAATAGAAGGACAGAGGTGGCTGACGGACGCCAGAAAAGAAACAGTACTGAAAATTCCCCCACCGCAAAACGTCTGACAAGTACGCTAGTTCCTGGGGTCAGCAGGGTTCTGTCGCTTGTGGATACCTGGGTTCGCTGAGTTGGCTAAGCCGCTGTATGAGGCCACTAAAAACAAACAGGACTTTGGACAGAGGCTATGAGCCAAGCCTTTAGCAACTTCAAACAAGTGTTACTCTCAGCCCCAGCCCTTGGGTTACCTGATTTGACGAAGCCATTTTATCTATATGTGGATGCACTAAAAGGAATTGCAAAAGGAGTCCTAGTACAGCAGCTGGGTTCCTGGAAAAGGCCCATAGCCTACCTTTTAAAAAAGTTAGATCCAGTAGCGGCGGGATGGCCCCATGTTTAAAAATCATTGCAGCGGTTGCCACCATGGTCAAAGACACCAGCAAAATAACCATGGGGCAAGAACTGTGTGTGACTACCCCCCATGCCATCGAAGGGGTGCTCAGGCAACCGCTAGATCGGTGGATAAGTAATGCTCAGTTAACACACTACCAGGGCTTGCTTTTAAACCCTGCTAGATTCCTGTTCCAGGCTCCTACCTCCTTAAACCCGGCTACGCTACTCCCCACTCTGGACTGGAAGGTGCCCCTCCATGACTGTCAAGAAATCCTGGCCCAGGTACCTAGAGTAAAGCCCGACCTTCAAGACCAACGCTTGCCCAATGCCGAGGCAACCTGGTACGCTGTCAGCAGCAGTTTCATCCAAGACGGGGCCAGGTATGCAGGGGCCGCTTTAACCACAGAGACAGAAACTGGGCAGAGCCACTGGCAGCTGGAACTTTAGCACAACGAGCCGATTTAGTCGCGCTAACCAAGGCTCTGACTCTGGGAGTGGAAAAACAGGTGAACATTTACACCGACAGCAGGTATGTGTTCGCCACAGCACACATACATGGGGCCATCTACAGAGAAAAGGGGCTACTGACAGCAGAAGGAAAAACTATTAAAAATAAGACTCAGATCCTTGAGTTACTGCAGGCCCACTGGTTACCTAAAGTGCTAGCCATCATTCATTGCCCAGGGCACCAGACTGCAGACACGCCAGTAGCCAGGGGCAATTGCTTGGCAGATTTAAAAGCAAAGAAGGCAGCTATTTCTGTGGACCATGTCTTAGTGACCACGTTGCCAGACCCAGGACCTCCAGCACTGCCAAACAGCCCAGAGTATACAGAGGAAGATTTAAACTGGATCAAGCAACAACCATGGTACAATGTTTCCACAGTTGGTGGAGGGCGGCAGATTGCAGCATAATTTTACCAGAAAAATTAGGACAATGGCTCGTCACAAAAATGCACAAAAGTACACACACGGGAGTAAAAAAAATGAGAGACCTAATACGCCATGCCAAAATAACCATCAAAGACTCACACCACAAAATTGCACAAATCGTGGACAAGTGCCATGCTTGCCGAATAACTAACACCTCTACACATAAATCTTACCCAGGAACCAGACTTAGAGGAGACCAACCAGGAGCATACTGGGAAGTAGACTTCACGGAGGTAAAGCCTGGAAAATATGGTTACAGGTATTTACTGGTGTTTGTAGATACTTTTTTAGGTTGGACTGAGGCGTTTCCCACAGAACATGAAACGGCTCAAATAGTGGCCAAGAAGCTCCTAGAGGACATCATGCCAAGGTATGGATTCCCCGTCCGAATAGGTTCGGATAATGGGACCAGGCTTTGTCTCTAAGGTAACGCAAGGAATAGCTCGGGTTCTTGGGGCAGATTGGAAATTACATTGTGCATATAGACCCCAAAGTTCAGGACAGGTAGAGTGTATGAATAGAACATTAAAAGAGACCCTAACCAAATTAGCCCTGGAGATTGGCGGTGACTGGATGACTCTCCTCCCCTTAGTCCTCTACAGGGTGCGTAACTCCCCCTATAAAATGGGCTTCACCCATTTTGAAATCATGTTTGGCATTGCGCCACCTATTATTCCAAACCTGAAATCTGAAATACTTGCTGAATTTGATGACCAACAACTTCTTTTTTCTTTGCGGGCACTGCAAAAGGCACATGAACAGGTGTGGCCCGTACTAAAGGCTCTCTATGAGACCGGGCCGCCCCCGAACCTGCACCGTTATAGACCAGGAGACTGGGTGTACGTCCGCCACCACCAGCACCAGACACTGCAGCCACGCTGGAAAGGGCCCTACGTTGTCGTCCTAACCACGCCCACCGCACTCAAGTTAGACGGCATCGTCCCGTGGATCCACTATACCCACGTCCGACCGGTTGAGCCTTTTGCAGTGCTGCAGGACTACGTGCCAAAATGGAAGAGCAAACAGGACAAGGACAATCCTCTAAAGCTAAGATTGTGCCGTTCTCATGTATTTCCAGAAAGCTAATGACATGTATAACATGCTTTTTATACAATGCCATAGTACTAACCTCCGGGGCCTCATACAAACCCCATCAACCTCTCAATTTAACATGGCAGGTTTTAGCCATCAAGTCAGGAATTAACAAAATTATTTTCCAAACTTCCAACCTCGCTCCCCTCAATACTTGGTTCCCAGCCCTAACCTGTGACCTAAAAGACATGTACTCCTATCCTGACTGGGCTGGTGCGGTGACTAAAGTAATTTCTAAGCTAGGCTACAACAGACAGTATCAATTCTATGTATGCCCCGCCCATGACCAAGATGAGGCGTGTTCAGACTCCGGTCAGTACTATTGCCCAGCATGGTCCTGTGTCTCCACAGGCAACATACCCTGGACCCCTGCCAAAACCAATGACTTAATCACTGTGCAGAGAAACCCCTCGGGTTACAGAAAAGGGCCTTGTCAGATACAAGGTGGGTTTGTAACACCCGCCATCTCCTACTGTGACCCCCTCATAATAAACTTCACCCCAGCTGGGCGACAAGTTACAGACTGGACAGTTGGAAAAATGTGGGGAATCAGATTATACGACAACCCTAGGGCAGGATGGCGTGACCTAGGAAGTCTCTTCATGATTAGACTAATAGTCCAAAACCCCAGCATCATTATAGAACCCAACCAAGCTGTTATAAACAAACAAACCGTGGAAACCACCCCCTAGGCCTAAGCCTAGGGCAAAACCCACAACTAAGCCAACTACTAGGTTGGTTCCTAAACCCGAGCCAAGTAGCGCACCAACCTCCACCAGAGTTCCAGGCCCTTTGTAATAGTACCCACCTGGTATCCAGCTTAGACTACTACATACCCCCAGAAAACAGTTGGTGGGCATGTTCTACTGGCTTAACTCCGTGTTTTCACGGGCAGGTCCTTAACCGGTCTGCAACTAATTTTTGTGTAATGATTCAATTGTTGCCAAAAATCCTCACCACTCAGAGGAAGACGTGCTCTGGAACTATGCTACAGACTACCTCAGGAGAAACAAAAGAGAGCCATTCACCGCCATATCACTGGCGGTCATTCTTGGGCTAGGGTTAGCAGGAACCAGGACAGGTACTGCAGCCCTAATTACCCAGAAACAACAGTATCACAGCCTCAGGGCTGCCATAGATATAGATATTGAAAGAATTGAAACCTCCATCTCTCACCTTCAGGAATCCCTAGCCTCGTTATCCGAGGTGGTCCTACAAAAACTTAGAGGGCCAGATTTGTTATTTCTGCAGCAGGGAGGAACATGCACCGCCCTAGGGGAAGAATGTTGTTTCTACATGGACCGCTCAGGTATTGTCAGGGAGTCCATGGCTAAGGTAAGGGAAGGACTGGCTCAACGCAGAAAAGAACGAGAGCAACAACTCAATTGGTTTGAAGCCTGCTTTAATTTTTGGTAACAATTGAACCATTACACAAAAATTAGTTGCAGACCGGTTAAGGGCCTGCCCGTGAAAACACGGAGTTAAGCCAGTAGAACATGCCCACCAACTGTTTTCTGGGGGTATGTAGTAGTCTAAGCTGGATACCGGGTGGGTACTACATTAATTTCCACCATAGCTGGCCCTTTAGTTATTTTAATTCTCCTACTCATTTTTGGGCCTTGCATCATCATCAGGCTTATAGCCTTTGTCAAAGCCTGAGTCAGCACCGTTCAACTCATGGTACTCAAACAGCAGTACCAACTGCTCGGCACCCATCCTTGTTGTCTTAATCCTCCCACTCATTTTCAGGATAGCCTTCAAGAAACTTGTGTAGACCCATGATTGGGTCCTTTCTTTAGGTTCCTCTGAGAGGGGGGAATGAAAGACTTAAGAGTTGTTACTGTGTGAAAACTGGTTGCTGTGTTTTGTTGCTGTGTAAGAAGTGTCTGCAGTGGCCCCCATAAGACCAAGCATATGCCGAAAGCCTTGTTGTGGTTGTGAAGCTACAGAATGTTTTACAGTGCTTGCACTTGAAACTCTGTTAGGTTTTTGTTTACCTCATAATAACTATGTTAAATAGGTTAACCGACTTCTTCTGCTTCTGTAACCCCTGCTGGCAGTGTGCGAGTGTTAAACAATAAGCCCCTTCCAAATTCCCCTCTGTCTAAATTGTGACAGGCAAGCCACCCTTATGGTGTGCTTTGTATTAATTCAAACCTGCTCGTATGCCGAAGCTGACTTATGCACAGTCACGGTGACTGTGTAAAACCTTGGCTTCTGGTAAACATGTTCTCGAACCCAAGGTCCAGCTTATGCACAGTCACGATGACTGTGCGGACCTGGGCCCCCTGAGTAAACATGTTACAAGCACCTCCGGCTATCTAACATTCCAGAAGACCTAACCGGTTCCATCCTGCCTCTCTGACCGTTAATGGTCAGTTACGGTCAACCGGAGCCCGCGCCTGTGCAAATCAAACACAAACCAACCAATCAGTATCTCTGTAACCGCATTCATGCAATTCCATCCAATCCTGTGTGAACAAGTTTGTAATGCCACCCCACTCCCTCCAAATTGTGTATAAAAGAGGCTTGTAAACCTGAATCGGGGCTCTCGTCCCTGAAGCCACTGTGTCGGTTTCAAACATGAGCCCAGACTCGAGCCTGAATAAAGACCCTCATGTATTTGCATTGGAGCTGGCTCTCTGGTGGTCTCTCGGATTTTGAATTTTAGGTTTAACAATTGGGACTCTTTCAGTAAAATAACTGGCCTATGAAAATGCCAATTCTGCCTGTCAAGTGACCATTCATCCCAATCATAGAAAAGGGGATTTTACAGATTATATTCGCATGTGTGCTGATGTTGGACCTGCCTATATGCAGGGGATGGCCATGGCTGCAACTTTACAAGGTACTCCTCCCCACAAAATTTTTGATGGAGTAACTCAAGGCACTTGCTTCAACTGTGGGCAAATGGGCCACTTCAGTAGGGAATGCCCCATGTGTAATCCCAATTCAGGACCACCTCCCAGAAGGGGTCGCCCTACATCTGTGTGCCCACGATGCAAGCAAAGTATTCACTGGGCTAATGAATGCCATTCCACGATGGATGCACACAGAAATCCCCTGTCGGGAATCTTCTGGAGGGGCCAGCCTCAGGCCCCTTAAATAATTGGAGCTATGTCCATTTACCCCCTGGTGGCAGCCCTACTAGCTGCAACAAGTCACCACCCCACGTGTACTTGGAAAGCCCATTCAAGTTTCCACATGGCTTAATAGGTCTCTTCTCAAGGGGGTGACTGGGACAAAAAGATATTAAAATTCTTCTTTGTTTTCATACGATACATTTCTCTTAATTTATATCTTAACTGGGACTATATCAACCTTCCCAGACAAAAGTAAAGGGATCATGTAACCTAAATCCTGTTAACTACAAAAAAGGTCATTTGTAATTTTAATCTTTTTTTTTTCAACCAAACTTGCAAGTGCTCTAGCCAAATTTTACTTCCAACCTTACTATGTATTAACATTAGTGCTAAATAACACCAATTTGTTATACCAGACTTGCTAAAATTGTATTTTATAAACAAAATGTTAAATCACGTGTTGTGCCTAACACCCACTTATATGAAAGGTAAAACTTTAAATGATAAACACCCTGTGTGACATGATAAGTTTTGAAAACTGGTCATTCCCACCTAGTTAAGTCACTTTTACTAAGCCTAGTATTTCTGCCAGTTGGATAAAATACTGGGTACTCTGTGTGAGCACAGTAAGGATTGGAACTGATCACTCTCACCTAATTGTCAACATTGTACAACTAAGACTACAACTTAATTCATGAGTCTTTTTTTTTAACAACTTTGCCCATTCATAATTATAAATAAGTAGACATATCTTTTCACATCCATGTGGTCTGTTCACTCCAAAGGATTTTACATCAAACTGTTAACAAACATAAATAATCAAAATGTCTTATCTGTAACCTATTAAAAAAAACTTTTGAGGGTTTTTTTTCCTAACCAAAACGCTAGAGAAACAACAGAGTACCAACATGGAGGACTGCAGAACCAGAAGGCAAAAGTGGAACCCCAATTGGCAGTTACCATTAGTGATAAAACTCCAACTGCCCTTCAAACACCTGGTAAGAACAAACTTGCTAAGGGGGTGGTGCCCGTTGCTTATGGGTACAGTCTGTGGGAGCACTGAAAGCATAGTTCCTCCTAAAAGGCCTTAATATCCTCGACCTTGCCCACTATACAGGCCAGAAAGACATTGGAAAGAGGTGCACTCTATTCTGAAAAGAGGAGAGAACACTTGGCTCACAAATGGTGACCACTTATGAAGGCTTGCAAATCTGTTAAACTGCCCGGCACTGGCTCACCATCACCCCAACAATCCCCCAGGTAAATAGGATTCTGGAACCCAAATTAATTTCTTAATTTAACACAGCTGCCAGCCTTTTGGTCTTGGTCATGCATGTTGAAATCATATAGCCTTATCCAAAAGAGTTTTCTCCTTTAAACAACAGAGGGGGAAAGGAAGAGACAAAATCAGTTCGCCCTCCCTCTCTGCATATGTCACAAAAAAGTGAGGAAATTTTTTCTTTTCAAAATCTTTGGACTATCACTTTGGCTAAATAAGTAACTTTTGCAATAACTACTATGAGTTTGTGTTGTAATATTATGCTGTTAAAAATTTTAATACTTAAACTCTTCAAGTTATTGATTCAGTCTCTAGGGTGAGGTAAGAAACAAGCTCCAGGAACCACATCTGCCCCACACCCTCCCCAACTGACTGCAGACTAGGCACAAGGATTACTATATGACATAGGATGAATGGCAAAATAACCTGGGCTTCACCCTCTAGCATGTCAATCATTGTGAAAGTATATCAGACCTATTATAAAAACAAAAGAAACCGTTTTCTTATTTTAAATTCTCAATTTAGGCTACAACCTAACTACATGTCTCTAATGTTTTCAATTCTTCATTATTCAGACTTTGTCAATGTGGATGTATTTCCCTGTTAAGGTATAACTATAGATAATTTGCAAAGGAATAATTCAATTTATGTTAATAAATACACATAATGTATAGGACTACTTTCAATTTTCCAACATTGTTTTTTGGGACAATAGCCTTTTTCATCACCGTTTGCTTAATAATTTTTGCCTGTGCTCTCTCTCAATGTTTCATTAAATCCAAAGTTCTCAGTTAAGGTCCTGCCATTTCCCGTTCATGCCCTTGGAAATAGATAGGTAGGGACATCTCAACAACCCATTTCATCAGGAAGTAGATACAGAAGAATGATCTTCTACCCATTTCCCAGGATCATAAGAATATTTCCAAGAGCAGGAGTGGGGAATGAAAGGTACCTATAGAAACCTAGAAGAAACTTAGCTTATTCTTTAGTCTTTTTGCCTCAGCATAATCATTAGAAAACTTCAAACTTTCTACTGCAAAACAAGCAGCAACCTATTCCATCTCCCTCAGCAAATCTCCTTCAGATGCAAGATCAGGACAACCCAACCATTCATGGTTTAGCATCATAATTTCTAGTAAACTTTTAGGGTCTTTGTCAAGGCTGAAGATCAAAGATCACCCTTTGGCTGGCCAAAGTCATAAAAGTAGTAATACGACCACCCCCACCTTTGGTCAAGGAGTTTGTGAATTGCAAATGTCTTTACCATCTCTTGCAGGAACCCTCCCCAGGACTGATCTA